AAGTAAATCCCGATGATGGGTCGGCGGCGATCTGCAGGTCGTTTGCTGAATTTTGGTGGACCCACTAATCTACTCGTCGTATAGAACGTCACGTCATTCGTGTAACAATCGTTACACGAATCGTCGCTCTACTTTGACGAGCGTTTTCTCGACAACAGTCCTATAAACCTTGGCTAAAATTTTAACCATGGATGGATCGGGTATAGGGCTACAACTTTGCTTAGGACCACTTGTTCGTGCGACGGCTCCTTCGACGACTTCTCCTAGGGGCGAACTTCTGCGACTATATGCAATTTCTATAATGGTTTAAATAACTAATTAAATAAATAAATAACAAAAATAAACTACTAATAAATAAATAAAATAAAATAATAGAAAATAAATAAAATAAAGAAAATAAAGAAAAGAAGAAAAATAAATAAAGTAAAAAAAATATGAAAATATATATATCTCTGGGGTTCTTGTTACAATATAAACCGATTTTTGTAATTAGTAATAACTTTTAATCCACTAGCATATTCTAAATAATTTTATTATCAAAATAATATTACTAAGATAATTCTAAAAAGCCCAAAATTATCAAAATTCAATTACAGAATTTTAAAATTACTATAAAACAAATAAAATTTTACTTAATAAACCTAATAAACCAATAAAATTAAATAAAAAAAGTGTTGTATAATTTATTTTTTGGGTTTCCAATTAAATAGATTATAAAACACCTTTTTTATTCGATGTTATTGGTTAGATTATCAGTTTTATAATAATTTTGAAATTGTTAGAATCACCTTAGTAAGAAGATTTGTTGGTAATAAAATCATTTAGAATAGACTAGTAAATTAAAAGTTATTACTAATTACAAAAATTGGCCCATATGAACGTTTTTTGACCTAGGTTATATAGACACCTCAAAAACATGAAATTGTCCGATATATTCAGATGTCGGTTTAGCAAGAGGCATTTTCATATTGAGTATATAGCTTCAAAATTTTAAGAAATGTCGTTATAACCAGATGTCGGTATATCCAGATGTCTATATAACCGGAGTGACGTGTATTGCTAAATGCCGGTCCAAATCCGATGGATTCGACCCGGAAATGAGAAGATTGTCCTGTAAAAATTATATGCAACACCGATATCAGATACAACTGCGGATATTAGATCTATGCGACCAATAACAACTTTTTAATGCTTTTAATGAATTCACACACCTTAATCGAATCTAGAGATCCTCTAATGCTAAAAACTCAACTTGATACTGCCTTGGGTAACAACAAGGTGCAATACTGGAAGGCTGTTCAAAGTTTCATAAAAGGAGAAATAAATAGAATGGAACTTGATTTTTTGGCGAACTTGTTTTTACCAAGAGAGCACGGCAAGTATTTATACCGCAACCTAAATATAACTATTGTTAAACTAATGCATTTTCTGCGTAAACATTAGCACAACTTCACGACGACTTTATTCGAGCCAGTATTAACAACAATAAACAAAAATCCAATTGTCGCGTAATAAGAGATATGCATAAAAAAACTTGTGAGACTTTGAATGAAAAAAATGATATCATACCACATTACAGATCATTAAGGGGGATACTATCATCGATGGAAAAAGAAGACAGAGATCAATTACATCACTTTTTAAAGGTAAGTTTACCCACATTATATATTGGGCAATAAAGTCCATCAATTGATAGAAAGGTTTAGAGTTGTTGTAAAGTTATAAAATTATCATAATCATTTGATAGAGTGTGAAAAATAATCGAAATTCTAACGAAAAAGGCTTGATACCAAAACATTCATGTTCAAAAAGTATCACAGAGGAATCAGTAAGCCAAGAATTTCCTGATTATGAAAATGTCTATATACGTATGACAGAAATTGCATTCAATCATGGATTATTTGGTGGAGTGCAAGAGGATTGCGTGTCTTTAATGATTTTTGCACTCGAGGTAAGTTTTTTGATTGTTATAATGCGTAAAAGTATCATAAGGTTAATCAAATAGAAAGAATAACGTTTATTTATTTTTTACTTTTGCGCAAGTTTTATATGAAAAATATTTTGCATAACTGCATTAATCGAATTCGAGAAAATAATGTATATCATGATGACTATGATGAAAATCACAATATTACATCAATTACGTTAAAAGATCTTGCATTTTCTTTAAGTATTTCACCTTTGGTTGTCTCCCCATTAGTTGTGGAAAAGATTAGTGCAAGGTTAAGACATGAAGAGATGAATTTTGATAATAAAACTTAAATGAAATTTTTTTATAATACAAAATGGGATTTACAAGCAGTGTCTGAAATTGGGCTGCGGAGCTTCCGAACCGCAAATGATTTATAAGTTCCCGCAACTAAAGTCTGAAATGCATATGCGGTTCCACAAATGAATTTTGTGAATATAATTCACAAGGAAAGTTTTTATTTAGTTGCAGCCCGCAATTAAATTAAAATTTGAATTTCAGACACTGTATACGAGTAACTAACAATTAATTATTTCTGATGATGGATATTTGTTGATGCTGCATGCCAAACTTTCAGGCTCGGGTTTTGGAGATATTACATGAACTTTTATACCGTTCTTCTCAAGATAGTCTCCAGTAGTTTTTCCAATACATGCGATCTTTACGGTCTTCCATAAGTCCAATTTCATTAAACTTTCCAACGCTACATCTACACCACTTGGACTAAAGAATACAATCCAATCCATTTGTCTATTATTTTTGACAATGTTCACCATTTCTGTGGAAAAGTTTTCGTCAGGTCTTGTTTCATAGACTAATAATTCTTCCAGTTTTATTCCAACTTCTGATAATCGTGTTGGAAGCTTATCAAGACGTTTATCACCCGTTAGAAATAAGAGGGATAATGCGGTTGGGTTATTCTCACTATGAAATTGGATAATATATTCTGCAAGGGATTCTGAATTGCCCGATTTTAGTCCTAATGTATTGAAATTCAAATCATCGGCTGCTTTTGCTGTTGCTTTACCCACCACAAAAAACGGTAAATTTTTCCATAAATTTTTTTCTCTGATAAAAGAATCTACTTTATTATTATGATGATCAGTTCAATAAATTGTCATGTTTAAATTGATTTGTAGCAAATGATTTATTACCTTCAGTAACATCGTTAAACGAGTTGTTCCAAGCAAGCTTTAACCCTTTAACAGCTTTTTGGCTAGTTGCTATAATTCCCCAATACTTTTTTTCTGGTCCATTTTCTAATATTTTTGATAATTCTTCTATATTAACAAAAACGTGTGATAACACCGGTAAAAAAATACTGGTATATGAAAGTGTGGCTAATTTAATTTCGTACTCGTCTGAAACTTGTTGTGTACCATCATTTATGTCATAAGTTGTACTTTGGTTAAGTTTAATTGGTTCAGGTGAGGCCTTTTCTTTTAGAAGAAGAACTGTTCCTTTAGACATAAAGACGTGAAAAACAGAATCATTGAATTTATGTTCAACGTTATATTATTGGTTGCAATGCAATCTGTAGATTCCGATTTATTAGAACATGATTTGGCCATTAAAAATCAAACTAGCCAATAAAATTGCAAGATCAATTTAAGCATATCGGATTTGAGATTATTGCGAAATCAACGTTGATTGGTTGATTTATGTAATACAATAGTAAATTTAGGGAGTCGTTTAAAGCAGGGTGCAGTCATATAATTTTGACCTTTTAATTAAGGTTAGGCGAAGGTTAGGGTTTTCTAGTAAAATTATATTTTTTTTGCTAATATTTCAAGGTAGGTTTAGATACTTATTTCTTGTATTTTTTATTTTTTTATTTATTTTTTTTCGTTGAGCAGTCAAAATAATGAACTTATAGACCAATTGAAATGGACCTATTTGGACCATTCCAATTTTTGATTCAAATAAATTTAAATAGAATATCGATCCAATAATTTTATTTAAAAAATAAATTTTATTCTATTAAATTTGTATTATCTGTAATGTAAAATCAAACAATAAAAAATTATATGTTAATTTAAAATAGGGCTAGTATTAGATTAGGATTGAATATAGGTTTTAGAATAGAGAATTTCTATTTGACACGGTGTACACGGGCAATATCGATATCTCAAAATTTTGATTATGAAACCACCTTTTGGCTTCTAACAAAAAAAATTCCTTGTGAAATTTTGGCATAAGCTATATCTCGCCCAATCCCAAACCAACCCTTACCCTAACCATAAGCGAGGGTTTAATTTTTCATTTGTAAAATTTGGTTTGATTGGCATGTTACACGAATTTGTAATTCAATAAATTATACCCGTGTATAAACACTATGTGTAAAATAATAAATTTTCTTTAGAATAATAAGTTTTTAATCTAAAATTTTGCAAGAAATTTTTTTAATTAGAATGCAAGAGGTGGTTGCATAGGCAAAATCTTAAGTTACAGATGATTTTTGACAAAATGACTATTTGGTTGAACTTCTCTGATCATGCTACATTATACCAGATCTTGCATTTTAATTGGTTGATTAGGGTAGTAATAAATTACTATAGTGAAATTACAATATTCTCTTTTGAATTATTTATATAATAAATTTTAAATGAATTTAATTATTTAAAGCAATAAAATTCTCAGATAGAATCTAAAAATAAGTAAATACAGTATATTGTATCCTTGTTTAGTTAATAGAATAATGTATATAGACACAAAGGGTTTAAATAAGTAATCCTCTAGTTGAGTTATAGATATAGCATTTAATATAGAACTTAGTAATAAGCAAACTATTTAAATAGGTAACCAAAGTTGTATATATGGTTAGTTGTACTTTTCAAATATATATATAGTATAAAAATATATACTGTAAAGTTAAAACTATAATTGAATAAAAAGATATAACAAATAATATAACTCTTTTTAATGATTACTTGTATCAACTAGTACTGAAATAAGTAGATGATTTAAGGCCAGAAGTTAACAACAACTTGAAGTTTTCTCAATATAAACTGTTGTTGATGAAGTTTTAAATATAATATACTAAGAAGCAGGTGTTTTAAATAGTTTGCAAAGAGGTTAAGCCTTGTTTTCTTCTTTTTCTGTAGATAGACTTCTTTTTGTATTTGGTTTCTAAATTGAAAAGTTTCTGAAAACAGCAAATAGAAAAAAAACTCAGAAAGTTTGAAAATATAAAGATATAACAAACTCTTAAAAAAATTTTCTTTAGTTAAAAACTCGCAAAACCAATAATTTTCTTTACTACTTTGATATTTTCAAAATTAATTTTTGACAAAAAGTAGGAATTTGGCTATTTCTATCAAAAAATTGATATTGTTACTATTTTTATATTTGATGACTCTGTGACATAAATACAACAAACATGTAGTAATATAGAAAATAATTTATTTCTTATTTAAAAATATTGCTCTATATATATATTTTTTTTTTTGGTGTTAAGGTGGCCTCTTGGCCGGCTCCTTTTATTCGGTTATAGTTAACTTTTAC